CCTCAGTCTGCCCCCCTCACCACTGGCCTCCAGCCTCACACCTAAGCGCCAAGAGACCCACTTGCAGACTCGACTCAGAGCAAACCCCGCCTGTCCTTCAGCATCGAAACTGTTAGGAACCTCGATTTCTCTGCCTGCAACCAGTTTTGCTTCCAGGACATTCCTGGGAGCTAGCTCACCCTTTGAAAGAAACTTCCCAGATGCAGAAGGAATGGGTGGCTTCCTCAGCTGGGAGGTGTAAGCTTGGCACAAAGGGCAAGGAAGCTTCTTCAAGAAATCGCAAGGGAGGAAGTAGAAAAGCAGACATAAAAGGGGGTGGGCAGCTGAGTGTGAAGGACATGCTGGACGGAACAAGTTGTTCTGGGCTCACCTGGGCCCGACCTCAAGCACCAGGTCGTCAGGGTGGGGAACAAGCCAGGACACTTGAGCAACATCATCCGGTAACAAAGGGCAGCCAAACAGCCACTCCAGCTTCTTCATCTCCTCGGGGCTTGGGAGGGATTCAGCTGCAGGGAGGCAGGGTGAGGGCACCTTGAGACTGCCCCTAGCACCAGGGGAGCCCCCCAAGAATCCAGCATCCGGGACCAACCTGTCCAGTTCACATTGTAGCACAGCTCCATCTCCACCTCCCGCAGGTCTGGCAGCTTCTCTTGCAGCTTCCTTCGAATGTGTCCGGAGGCTGCACCCTCGTGGCCAGAGGGGCGGACATAGAAGCGAAGGACGGGGGACATCGCAGCCTCTAGATGGAGAGATGAGTTGGATCCCTGAAAAATAACACCAATAGCCCATCTGTTGAATCCATTTCAGGCTTCAAGGGCACTTGGCACTTTGATGCAACAGGGCTGGGGTAGAAATGAGGAAATAGGAGTATTCAAAGGGAGACAATGCGGCGACCTGAAGAAGAAAAAAAGAGCAATGAGGAGCGGGTGTGTGTTTATTCTGCAAAATGTGGGGTCTGATCATGTGGAGCGGCGTCCAGGAGTAGCCTCAACAAATGTTCCTTCCCCACCTTGCCACGCCAGCCCTGAGCAGTGATTCTCCGTGCTGCCGGGACCTTGCAAGAAGCGCTATGGACTGACGGAGCAGACATGGACAGAGCAATGGTGGCCAGGCTGGGGCTGGGGCTACTCCTCTCCACGCAGATTTATTCAAGTAACACACCTGCCACGACAGCTGTAACTAACTCTTTCCACCTTACCTCGCTGCCACAAGTCCCCCTAAATGCCACCACCAAGACAATGGAGGCTCCCTGCAGTGCACGGCTGGACTCCTCAGGGTCACGCTCACCCTTCTACACCCTTCCCTATCTTCCACACCCAATCCACATGGAGACTACAAGTCCAGTGCGGCATGGAAAAATGAGATCTTCATCAAATCTACTGTTCCCACGCGCGTTTTATCGACACAGAGAATGTTGAGTACCAACTTTCACTGATGGGAAGAACGAGTGAAGAGTTCGACGAGGGGATGAATGCCAATATTATATGT